ACACGTCAAAACTTTTGAAATTTCAATTCTATTGTGCGAATACCGAGAGCTCGTTGAGTCTCGGCGCTCACTTGTAGCGTGGGATGTCGGGAAGTCAGCGGTATTCGACGTTCGAGGGGACGGCACACGTCAGTTCTGAAATGTGCAGATATATGGACTGGTATTAATGAATCCATACAGTATACACAGCACACATGCGCACAGGTCGGGTGGTACAGGGAAGAAGACCGGAGTGTAGCAACAACGCACGTGTACTAACCCGAACCGAAACCGGAAGGCAGGGGGTGTACAGGGTCGGGTCAAGGTCAGTTAGGGGGGTGTACAAGCGGGGTACACTTCCCTGTCCAGAGCCCGTGGTGATTCGTCCGTGGTACCTGCAATGGGGGAAGAGAGAAAGGGAGGGGCACGTATAAGGTCATATGAGAAACGGGCAAGCAGATACATTCGAGTTTCAAATGCGTTACTTTGCCCCCTCCCGGGTATGAGCACTGTCCTCAGTGCTCAGAAGGAGTGCTTGTAACAGTTGAAGGGGGCGGGCCAGGGCCATGTGGAAGAATGGGTGCTAACTGATCGTAAAATTGACAACGCATGTCCATATGTGCTTGACTATGGTCTTGAATGACGTAGGCGGTTACTGGTTTCCCGATGTGGAATGAATCGCTGCTCAAGGGTATCCAAAGACAGTCAAAAGCCGCTTAGTAGTCAGGTAAGGCGACATCGACTACAGCAATGGCTGTGGCAGGCCATCAGATTAGGCTTTGACGCATAGAGGCCTAATTTTTACCGGCCAGCATGGATACTGACCTGGTGTCTGCTATAGGTGGCAAAGATGATCGGCGTCGCGTGTGGCTATGAATTTGAGTGGCCGTCTTTGGCCATTGGATCATATTGCCGTGCATGTGTGAGGACCCATAATCAGTGTCAAATATGGACACGGACATATCAGTTAAAATAATTGGTGAGTAACAACGGCTACCGTTATTGTTTCGACAGCTATATGGTGATCACCACTTATAGGGCATCGTATTCATAATAGGAATGATATCTTCAGCTATCAAGTAACGCCGTCTTATCTACGGGATATTTATGCATACCTAAGAAGGGGGGTCACCAACAGTGATGGTCCTCGCGTCGCCACTGCACAGTTCCTACCGTTGTCTAACTATCTTGTAATTAATGTGAGCTGGGATCCACGGGAAAATGCACCGCGATCGGGTTCGCCAAACAGAATATATTTTGCGATTAAAAGCGCATTTGTTGAATCTAAGGAGCGTGTAGCAAACAAACGTTAACAACCAGCCATCTAGGGTGAAATTTACATTACATACTCTCTAGATGCTTTTTACTCCTAAAAAACACCGACGAACGCCAAAGTATGTCATAGTGTGAGTTCGTGTTTTTGTCGCGTGAAGCGGTAGGAAAATGCGAGTCAGTGATGGTCCGTGAGCTAAAACCTTCGCTTAGTTAAAGGAAATCTTACGAGCAACATACCACCGGAAGGTGCAAGAGGATCAGGCTGGCTCCCCGTCAAAGGCAACTTCGAAAACCCATAGTTTAGGCGAGAATAATTAGGTTGTGCTAAAGGCGGCGGCCTTTGAGTCGGTGTCTACTATCCAACAACGCCCTCAGCTTCAAAACCTTCACAATTGGAAGAAAGCTTTCTACGCCATGTTGCAACTTTGCTCAAACAAAAATCGTCCTAATCTACGTTTGTGTTTTTGCAGCTCACCAAATTTCATTGTTCACTGAAACAACCGTGTCTCTGGCTGAAAGGTCCTGTTAGATAATTTTCCGGCGTCGCCGTGACCCCGGAATGCCCAAATGGGATTCCAAGGTCTGGATGGGTACCCTCACCTCGATTACCCAATTGCTTCAGCCTATCAGGGACCCGTCAAAACTTTTGAAATTTCAATTCTATTGTGCGAATACCGAAAGCCCGTTGAGTCTCGGCGCTCAATATAAGTATGAATTCCGCGCGCAAATAGATATTGAGTACGTTGAAACATCCCCGAAGGAAACTGTGACTGTCTGCGGGAGGTTTTTAACGCATTTTATCAAATGCTAAATCTTCGTGTAAGGCTCCTTGTTGTGAAGGATTGTGTTAGAGAAATTTAGGATGTACACCATAAGATAGACCCCTGTAAGAATAGCGCCAACGTGTTCAAGAGGCAGTTAATATTTATCAGGTACGGGGCTACATACTACAAGCGAGTGGTTCCTGTTACCCAGTTATGGGATGACATGCCCAAAAATGTGCTGCATTTTTCGACAAACCTGATTGACTTACCTATCGAACTTAAAAATCCCCCTTCAGTCAAATCTTTAGGTTACGGACGTGTTTTTCAACTTTCAGGAGGTCTCCACCGGATTTATTTTAGTTGTCTCTCAGAAGGAACATGTGGTTCCAATCTTCTGGATGAAGGTTGTTGCTGCTCTGCTCTTCAAAGTTTACCAGCCCAACCCAGCCAAGCCTCACTTGTTTAATTGCAGACAAATAAGCCTCAGCAAGTGTACCAAAGTTATTTAATGGAGAGTCTAAGGGCGGATTGATGAACATAAGAATGGCAGAACTTCTTAGCGCGTTCCACGTTGGTTCACTAGGAAGTTATCATTGTTTACATAGGTGGGCATTCCGAAAAGGGGGCAGCACTATGGCGCATCTTTTGGCCCCCAAGCGTAATAGGGTGTTCATATCTGAGCACCACCTACAAAAAGATGCATGGAACCACTATAGAGAGTGGCAGGGTACGGCTCTCTGACGTGAAGCTGTTTGATCATAGAGGTCTACGCAAGCGTGCCAGTAGGCGTCATGGAAGGGAATTCCCCAATATCACGTCAATCTCAGGGTGTGTAAGTGGAAGCAGGCGTCATGAAAAACGAAATTACTTATTTAATGGCTCGCGTGAGCCGCTTTTCTGATCCCACCGAATGATATTTTCTTGCCAGTCTCTTTACACATTGGAGAAGTTTTCTTGGAACTAGCGTTCCTTATCCTACTAAGAACTTTTGGCCTACCTTCCTCCTCAGTCCTAGTGTATATGATGTAGCACTTTGATTCTACTGAGCCATGTGAGCGTTACAAATAACTTTCCTGTCGTAGGGGTCAAACGGACAATCAAAATGGGCTCCATTCATAGGATTCTCCCAACTAAGACGATCCAAATCGTTGAAAGATTTTATTTGCGGGTGGGCTGGTTGGAGAAAAATACAACTCCGCACACGGGACTTGGCCGAAAAGCAGGATAATTCTGGACAGACCTTGCCCCACATGGAGGCGGTAGATGAAACCAAGACCCACAGCTTCGGACGAATGTCTTCGTGACTCTGAAATATTTTCATACTTTCAGCGCACTCTTTGTTTCGTTTTTGTTTTTTCGGGACGAATCCTCTTCGGGAGTCGATTAACTATGATGAACAATCTTGTGAAAATCTGGCAAAGTTGAAAGGCAGAAGAGAGACTCTCATTGTTCGTAAGTTCTACCGATCTATCTCCATGGATTTCCAAATGTCTTTGTCTGATTCAATGTACACTGTAGTGGTCTGGCTACCCAACAAGTTAGTTTACCGGGAGTGTGTGGCAAAGAAATAAAAATAATTACACTAGGTTGGGTATACAAAAATAAAGACATCAGATGGATCAGACTCACTAAAAATCGTTGTCTTTAAAATAGTTCATCGTTGGCCCAGGTCAGCGAATAAACAATAATCCAATAGTGTTGGTCCAGAGGTCTTCTTCTGAGTAGACAAATTGGTTGGCGAACTCCAGGAGCGGCCTCTATGGGGCCTACGTCAGACCGCTCCTGGAGTGCGCCAACCAAGTTGTCTACTCAGGACGTACGAAGGACATCACCCTCATTGAGCGTGTCCAGCGAGCCGCCACCAGAATGGTTACTGGCCTCAAATCTGTGGACTACGAAACTCGTCCCGCGACGCTTGATATCTTTCCCCTGGTGTACCGTCATTTTCGAGTGGACCCGATTCCCCCTTGTGCCCCGTTTGAACAAAGTTTGGCAAACAGATCTTTCGGCTTTGACCCAGGAAACACACGGAAGGGACAAGAAAATTTTCAAGCTCAGAGCGCACAAATTCATTAGAAAATTTTTCTCTCATTTCGGGTATTGGTTGCGTGGAATGACCTTCCTCCGACGGTTTCCTACGCTCCTTATAGAAACCAGTTTAAAGCACTATTGGACACTTATTTATGCGAATCCTCGCGCTGGCAAGCATACTGCCCCGCGCTGAGAACATAAAGAACGGTGCTACACCTTTTTTCCACTGGTGTCTTTCAGGTGAACGACAGCCGTTGAACGACAAGAACAAAACCGAGCAAACTTGGGCCGGGAAACTTGGATAAAAGTCTCGATCCTGTGTATCCATCCGCGAATCTGTTAAACCGTGAAGGCTTTCTGCACAGTGTTTCCTGTTAAGTACGCCCTAATTCTCTTGATTTCGCAACCGAACGACTAATGAGAAGTACCCTTGATTGTCAAAATCCCAATTTTCAAATATGTGCCAAGGAGAACATTGCAGATAATATATATAGGGAAAGTCTTGCGTCTGCCGTCAAGAGCACTGGAAGATGCAGATGATCCAAGATGACCTGACCAATTCGTCCCACTCCCCTGGTACGCGCTCATCATCCGCCGGGAGGTGCGTAGTGTTATAATGGAAGTAAAATAAGGGTACAAAACGCCACAACCTGCAAACAAAAATGCGAATCATTGATGCATCAATCTCTTCAGATGATGAGACGTTCCCGAATAGGTCGACTTGCATTTTCAACAGACGTTCATTTTTCAGAGGGGGTATCAATATTTGGAGAGGTTTGTTTAAAAGCATCAAGCATAGAAAGCGAACGCGAAAACACAACTGAAAGGTAGAGGGAGGAGCGATGGCGTTCTTTTGATTTTGGCGAATGTGATGGCTGAACTGGCAACCATTATCAAGGAAGTTGCTGAGCAGCTGTGAGTTATCAATTGCACGGCTATATACAGTAATTTAGGGTTTTGTATTTCAATAAGCGCAGGCTGGAAGTGGGTTGGGATGACTCAAATCCGAAAAATGTCGTCACACACTTAATCCCCGTAAGATGTGAAACTGTATCGTGGTAAGAGATTTTAGAAGCCAAAGCTCGCGAATAGACGTGCATTTGACGCTATTCAACGATTTCCCGAGCTGAGAAAACTCCTCACACTTTTAGAAACGGTATCTATTTTTTCTATTTATTCAAGCTTTCAGGAGGGCTATACTGTCGAAGAGCCCAAAACAGAAGCATACATAAAGTCCGCTTTGGAAGAATGCGTTTCGAAAATGAATTTTCTGGTACAGAGTTGGCACTACACTAACCACTTTAGACTTATCAAGATTTATGGCACAGTCTTGGATTGTTTACAAAGCCAGTAGTGCGCCTTCTTGTGATTACCTATTTTATTAGTTCAGAAATGTCACACCTTTCATAAACGCTGACAGAAATTCTTTGTTGGAAATGGGAGACACTTTTCCGTATGTTGATTTTGTTTTGACAGTATTTGTAGCCCCGTCACTGGGGTAATTTCACCTTCCAGGAGAGCAATTACCCCGGTAATCAGCAAGTCAAGTGCGGAAAGGATAATTAATTACGCTTCGAAGATGATCGCGAATTTAGTGAGTTTCGAGTCCGGATGCGGTACTTTACTTGCTTCGAAAGCAGCCGTTTAAAATCGTGGGTTGTTTGATCACTTCAGCCTCTTTAATAAGCCCCCCTACAGACTGACTGTCACATTCAGTAGAGCAGCTTTCTCCCACATGTTTTCCTCATCTTAATGTTTTGGACTATAATACAACTCTGCCGCAAGTGGTGGGTTACAGATACTTTTCTGGGGTTTATAACTAATCCATCGTTTATCCGTACGATACGCAGGCGTTGGCTTGGCCTAAAGGTCGTTGATTCATAGGAAATACTATATCTCCTGTTCTTCTACTTTGGATTTCTCAGGTAGGGCAACATTTGACACGAATTCACTTTTGCCAGTTTCACCGTCTCCGTCACATGAGTTTGATTTTCAGTATCTGCGAGGTCTTGCCCAAGTGCAAGTAAACTGACCTCATATAACCCTAAATTAATCCTCGCCTGCTTTTGAGAGGATCTTTGCTTTTAGTGTGTGTTCAAAAGTGTGATTGTTTCTGCTTCGCAAGTGTTCGTATGGATTCACAATCTTGATTTGTGCACCAAAAGTGGATCCTAGATATCCGCAAACGGAACCTTTTTGGTCTAATAAGTCTGACGGCAACGGATGTTTTACGCAGCTTTAACTCCTGCCGATATCCCCTCCCTTATTCGAAATTTAGTCAGTTCTTCCTCATCCAATTTTTTTTATGGAGTAAAGGCCCAGAGCTTGCGTTCAAAAGGATAGGGTTGGTAGAAAGTGAAAGTTGAATTGCCGTTTTTTCTCACTCCTCGCGACACGATCGTATCAGAGACGATATCACTAAAAGTCAGTGCTATAGACGGGGTTCTTTGGCTTTGTGCTTGTATGTTTTAGTTGATGGGTATAGATTTACATAGTTGGTTTGCATCGCGTATGTTTTAGTTTACTGTGCTACAATGAACGTTTGACTTTCCATCCGTGGCGGTTGAGGCTTATCGACATTTATCTACTAATTGTTGGGGTGGAGTTGTATTCGTTGGTGTTGCTGTTGAACTGTAAGTGCCACTCACGTAATTTTGTCACATCTTGTCTCAATTCTAGGTTTAGGCTGTTTTTTTACTTTATATTGACTGTAGCTTTCCAACGAATAATCTTGACCATGGAAAAATAGTTATCGGTGTGAAGGAGAGACTGAATTTATTCAGATAACCTAAGACAGGCCATCTACTGGAATTCAAAGATGGATAGCATTTCAGCTTTATTAAATGCTGCCACCCTAACGTGGTGGTTGGGCTTGAGTGCCACAAGGATTCCGAGTTTTACACTAGCCAAAACTCTATTCGACATGACTTAACCATATCAGGATGTCCAAAGAGAATCCATAGAATAGTTGAACTTTCACTGCGGTTAACCGTAGTGCTAGGTGGTCTGCAAGTAAAGCCGTACCGTTCTCTGTGACAGGAGTGTAAAGATAGTAAGGTGTTTCCTCCAGGTGACCAGCATGATGTATTTATGGACCGTAGTGCTAGGTGGTCTGCAAGTAAAGCCGTACCGTTCTCTGTGACAGGAGTGTAAAGATAGTAAGGTGTTTCCTCCAGGTGACCAGCATGATTGTATTTATGGAGGCAGAGGCGCTGTCTTTCTCCTATAAAGGATGGGTCGTAAAACGCTCGCTTTAAAATCCGCACATTCCGATCAACTATTGCCACCAAATGTCTCGGTGCGGGACAAAACACAAGTAAAAATTTTCATTCTCTCGATGCGGCTCCAACAGCAGCAACAGTAAAATATCCTTACCCCATTCCATGCGCTCTCGAGTTATGCTGGTCATACACAGCCAGTCGGATTGGTGCATCGGAAAAGTCGGTGGATCCTACGGGAACACCGGACCAGTAGATCATATAATTTTCACAAAATGTTTTTGATGATCGGTCGACTGGTCGCGCTGGGTAGGCTGTCTACTTTCCATGATTTATGACGTCTACCCTGTTCAGCCCTCGTCATTCAGCCTTGTGTCGGACAGGGACGATCAGTCCATGTCTTGGCAGCAAATAGTGAAAGCCGTTACCAGTTATCTCAGTCGCGGGACGGGACAGATCGATGGTGAATGATCGTGACATGTATGGTTGCATCATGCATCAAATTATTTGGGTCCTGTATCAAGGCTATCGCCTTTAGCATGTAGCTCTTACTCATTGTCATACCGGACAAACAGATCCATTTGACGTCTGAACTGATTAGACTATTGCATCTAATGCGTGACTATCTATCCCTTATTATTATTATCCTTGGCGAGTGAAGCCGTACAAGGTGGAACCACTGTACTTGGACGCAAGGATCACAAGCTAAACAGTATAACTTAACTGCCTGAAAACTATGGAAGTACCATTCTTTGTTAAAGAGCTCCATCTGGCTCTTTATCTCCCGCCAATGGTCCACTTCGGTCAGCCTGTCTGCCAATCTCATGACTATTGTTCCATGTATGAACCAAAGTACAGTAAAAGGACCAAAATAATCCATTACTGGGTCCAGCAAGTTTGGTCAACTTTGCGGGTCACACTGGGTGACATTTATCTTTTATTTAAACGTTGCTCTCCCTTTCTGTTTGTTGTATAGCACACAAAATTCTTCGCATTACCAGTGCATCCCAAACAGCTTAAGAAGAGTTTATACATTTCTCACCCTATTTTTCGGGTAGCTAGTGATTTTAGTACTATAGAAATGAGCATCTAGGGTATAGTAGTCTTCAATCGTTTTATTGGTTGTCTGGTTTAGTTAAAATCGGCGCTTCTCGATACAGCATACAGTTTTTGTTCACTGTGTTAGATTACTCCCTACAGACTACAGTTCTGAAGCTGAGAAGTACAGATTTCATTGTGATCTTTCAGGCCGCTTTGGTTTTCAAGGAAAACAGATGGTGTCCTCTTTGGTAATTAATATGAACGCTCAAGCTAGATGACTGAGCCAGGTTTGGTGTTCAGCTTGAAGTAAACCTACCTTACAGATGATGGGGGGCGAATTCTTCAGTTGTGTTCTAAAAATCATCCGTCCCTGAACAATGCGTACTGCCAACACAAATAGTCACGGAATTAGTTTGAGGCTACTAGCTGCGAGTCAGTCAGGAACGCAGCCAAATCATGTGGCTGTTAGTCACCAATGGTTAGCTTCAGTCAAAGACTCGTTCTCTCCAACGACTCCAGTTGCATTATTTGTGGATTTATCTATCACCTTGACTTTTGTCAGTATCACGCGAGCTGAAGCGCGTTTATCAACTGCAGAAGGTTTCAGTAGCTCAATAACATCGACCTGATATGTCTCAAAAGCTACTAGAAACGCACAGTCACGTGGATGACGAAGACCAATCCCAGCTGTTCGTTCAATCCATCCGACTTGATCGAACGAACACTAAGTTTCGTTGAGATCAGCTGTTGGAAATGCTACACCAGTGACTAGAAGTGATGATTGCACACACAGACCCTTCGAACGCCGGTTATTGAAGAGCTGAAAAAATTACAGAGAAACCTGGTAGATTATAGACACTTAGGAGAAGAAGAAGGTTATAGTTAACGGCAAAAAAGAGGACGCGTGCCAATGAGATAGCTTGCTTAAAAGGTATAAGGCTAATCCATCAACGAATTGGTCGTCTTGGCAGATGGACTTAACACAGAGTAGTTTAAATGGCCTCCAACACAACCAATAGAAGTACACAACGAGCCTGAATGGAATACCGAATCATGTACCATGAACCCAGTGTAGGACACCACTCCTCCAACGTGACCAGGCACCTGCGCCGGATGGTCTGCATGATGCACTTGTGCCAAAGGGCGTTAAAGCTATAGTGAGCAATCAAAAGCCCTTAGTACGGAAGATTTAGAGCGAAAAATAGACCGCTGATGGGTTGCGGCTGTTCGATCTTGATGGCAGTTTCCCGAAAGAGTGCAAGAGAAAAACGTGTCTAATATCAACCTGGTGTTTATAGCATATGTTGTACTCTGAGATTATTGTTTACAGGTTCATTGCTTACCAGAAGACCTATTCGTGGGAGTCAAGCAGCACTTTCCTCTTAAATGAGGGTGCATTTACTATGTCGATACTTTTAGGCCTTCGCTGGAAAGTCTTTACTCACCCCATATTGATCGCTTTTTCGGCTTGTAGTCTGCTTTTGACTCTGTCGATCGTTGGAGTCTTTGGGAACGCCTGGCGACCATAAATCTCCGTGTTTTCCATCTCTTATGGGGGCACTGTACAAGATCTTATATGGATGCCTACGCTTTCGCCTAATTTTACCACGTTCAGCGGTGCATGGCAAGTGTACTCTCTCTCATCATCCCTCCTCAATTTTGTTAGCGATATGCTGCTCATAAATACTGTTTTTGAACTCCGTAATAGGAATTCCCACGGAGCGCTCCGTTTGGGTTCCATAGAATGATCAAACCATTCTTCCGCACAGTTTTATGTGCGCATGCCAATGCGAATTGCAAAGTTGTGCCCAAATGGCGGGTAAGATCAGACTTAAACCTAATGCAGACCAGCCAGACGACGTGGAAGATAGATTTATATACCTCGGCAGTTGTGTTTTTCCCAATGGAAAATTACTTTTTAATTATGAAAATCATGGTGGTTTTTGTCAGCTTTGACACGTGTAGCGCCGACTTGATGTCAGGGCAGATTGTACGCTGTGATGGTGAGATACGTGCTGCTCCCTAGATCATGAATATGCTTATATGGTTTAAGTATAAACTAGGTTTTTGATCTGTCTGAAACGTTAGTTGCATCTGGTTGGAACATCGAATTGACGGTGCTGATCTGCATCAGATAGTTTTAGGAAGAATGTGTTCCATGAGGTATGCCGGCTCGGAGTGTACTTTTGCATGTAAGTGAACCGTCTTTTTGTTAAACTGTTTTCTAATTCATTTGTTGGGTATAGACGAACGAAAAGTGGACAGTCTATGGCTTTGTGATGAAGAATGAGAGTACCAACCAGTAAAATTAGTCAGATTGCCAACCACTAATTTTCTCGGCGTTGATTCATGGGCCCATTTCATCACGGGTTATGACGCCGGCTCAATCACGCGGTCAGTGTCACTGTTGTATCAAAGCCATCGCATTCAATGTGAACGCTTCTTTTTCCCGTTTCTTCAGACATCTGTGTCGATATATCGAGAAACTGCCTACTGAATTGTCCCCAACGTTTTGCTGTATCTCCCTCGCTGCCCCACTTTTACGCTACCCAAAGCTGGAGCAACCAGTAGTTATGCACCTTCGTTACATGGTTTGAAGGCGAAACCGACTTAAAGGGGGAACCGATAGCGTTGATCCCTCACCGGAAGAGTCACTGATGCTTATACCGAGCGCTTTCAGAATATTTTGCCCGAGCTTAGTGATAAGTCCATAACGGTTATTGGCTTGATCTGTTTGAGTTTGTCCACTCCTACCACTCGGTTTTTGTCCACCTCAATACCGGTGTAAATTGCCCACAAACCTGCTGTAAATTTTGGTTCCGAAAAACTACTGTGAGACAGCTCATATTTGTCGCCAACAAAGTTGCCAGCACATCGCTACGAATATTTAAACGTTTGTTGTATATTTTTTATCCGCATGAGGGACAAATCTACGGGGAAAACCCACAAAACCTAGCGTTTCTCTCACATTTTGAAATTTCTCCCTTAGAACACTTCCAACTACCACACTATCAAACACTGGTGTTTAATTTTCTAACCAAATTTTAATGTACATAACATTCCAGTCGCACGTAGTTATAGTCACAATATCCTTTGTCTTCTTCCTCTGTGTCAGTGTCATTATCAACTACTACTAGTAAGATCATTTACTTGGATCTGCGTTGTGTCCTCTGCATGAGTTGCCTGAGATTAAGGTTTGGTCGACTGGTTTGGGCAATTTCAGAGGTCTGTCAATGTGGAAAAGACGTAGGTGACAGTTTTGCTCCTACTCAAAACGCCAATCGATAAGATATTGGCCTAGATGTCTTTAGCTGAGGTCTTTAAGAGTTGGTAATTTCGGAGCACTCCGGAATGGGTTAGAAGTAACTGAAGGTGTGAACATCATTAGAACCTGGGCTAAAAATATTCTCTTCAAATACAGACTGGGTTCCTCTAAAGGTGACCCTCGATTTAGTCGATCATGATGGTTTGATGGTAATGATGCCATACAAATTGAAGGCCCGAAAGAAATTTAAACAGTATTGTATGGTGTGATAGTTTCAACTACTTTAAAGAGGAAAAATACGAGAATGAGGGACACCGGTTCTGCGTATTTTTAAACCTCTGCGTTTGCTCCCCTTATTGATAACAGGGGAAGTGCCTTTAGCCTCGAACAGATTACTCTTGACACGCTTATCCATTGCTGATCTCACAGGTCTTAAAATGAATAATGAATTAGAACCGACTATCTCTGGTTGTACAGTGATCTCTACGGTATTGGGCAGCACTGAAGTTTTTTGTATGGACTGTAGCCACATCAGTCTTATTCAAGTATCTGATCTTTGACAAGACTGGCTTTGCTGAGGCGATGAGAATAGCCTACCGACCGCAGCTAAACTAAAAGTCAGAGGATTATTGAACCTTATTGAAGATATTTTACATCCGAACCAGGAGATCTAACCAGACAAAAAACGAAAATCGTCACCATCACTTCAAAGCATTACACAATTCCAGGTCCGTTATATCCTTCTAGCGGTTCTCTTCATATTCTCGCCTGTGTTGGTTGCTTTACGCCTTGGTTTGACGCGACACTAATCCGCGATATTCGTTATCAAATAACTACCTCCTCGGAATACTGCTTGTAATTTTTATTCCCTGCAACCCCCACCACTAGTCATGGTACCCAGTTTAATTTCAAACTCTTTCGGAAATCACGTTGTCTGTTGTGAGAGGACCACTCAATCGAACACAACGCGCGATTTTTAGTGTTACTGCAAATAGTTTGGCATTTATTTTGCCTAATAACTTTACACACATAACCATAGACATATCGGCACCTTTCATTGCTGGTGTACTGACTGTGAGCTACCAGCTTATGATCACTGCATCAGGAATACATCGATATGAAAAAAAATCGACCGTCTGATATCCAGTCAGTATTTGCATGTTTCTACCGCTGGTATGGGTCATTTTCAGACAGCGCACCAAAACTGGACTCGCTAAATGCATTATTCTCAGCAATAGCAGAAACATCATTGTACCCCTGTTACTTCATTTTGGAACCACTGTTGTCATGATCGAAACAGGGTCACAAATGGACTCAGCCCATTCGTAATGATTGTGAGAGGCAGTAACCCATTAGTGCACTGTTGCTTAAACTTTTCTTAGCAGTAAAGTCACAGGATGTTCAATTTGTTGGTGCGAATCGAACTTCACTACAAAAAAACGGTACCATAAAAATACCCATAACGTCTTTCTTGTTTTCCTCCGGCTATCGCAAAACTTCTTTCTGTATGTGCTTTTGCAGTTCTCACCCAACCGTTCGGCAACTGTTATGGAGGAGACACGTTTAAGGTGGTCATTACCATGATATGCCTACCATTGCGGTAACCCGCACCAAGTCATGTGGCTCACGTGATGAAGCAAAATGTGTAGATGGTATAAGGTAAATGTCAGACGCACACATGTAAGCAGTGATGATGTCCATGTAATAACGAGCGTTGATTCAATTAGGTTAGAGGCCCTCCATTCTGGACCCGTGTACTTTCTCGTATTTTCTGACGGCGTGACCTCAGGCACAGGTTGGTTGTCTTCACATTTTTTAACTATAATCTCTTATCTCAGTTTGACATTCAACATCTGATGTCAGACTTGTTGTTCACTTCAGACAAATGTTGCACGAGTTGAGTTTGTATTTAATAAAGATGGACACTTAGGACCGTTTCCCGACATGAGAAACATATTTCCTCCTTACAGTTACGATTGACGAAAACCGCATACATACAACAGAACGAACGTAAATCACTTGGTCGCCACCTCAGTAGGCCCACAGATCAGAAATCACTGAAGCAGAAAAAGCGCCTGAATGTGCCATCTAACAAAAGCTCAATTACGCAGCCTTTATCTACATACGGGACAGCTGCCGTCAACACTCCCGTTTTCAAACTAGAACATGTGTTTTCAACGGATAGATCTGACGAAGATAAGCTGTCGAAAGGCCAGGTAATGGAAACCTACAACCTAAAACAAAAAGCGGATGCCAAAACCCCCAGGTGTACTCTGTTCACTCGAATAAGTACAGACACTAGCTCTGATTTCTCCGGTGCGGTTGAAAAATGCAAAGTGGAGACTTCAAAAACCTACTTGGGACGACCAGCTCGTAAGATCTCTACCTCAGCACAGTCTGAAGGAGGCAGCGATGTTGACGAGAGGAAGCCCGCTAATGTACTGAGAGATTTGCACTCGAAATCCGCTGTTAAACGAAACTTGAGAAATTTATTACCCCAAACGTCCTCTTCTTCAACTAAAGCTGACTCAAACTGTTGGGTACACAGGTCTGATACACAGGACAAACAACTTCGGCTTACGGCGAAATCCACAGGAACCAATCATTTAGATCCACCCATCACCGCTGAACCTACAGCTTGCACCTCCAAACACGCTGATGTTATGTCGAGCAAAGAAATAATCCAACAGGCACGCAAATATGGAACACCAAACTTTGTTGCGCGAATGCGAAATGAACTACGGCGTGCACAAACCACTTCTGAGGTGAGTATTTCATTCGACGGCTCCATAACTCTTGTGGAAGTCTCTACTGATGAGGAAGTACTGCTGCAATATGGTTTTAAAAAGTCTGAACTCTCCAAGAGGTGGGAGTGATGTGTCACTATGGATGTCTTGCAAGACAAACACTTCGTATCTGGTCATATAAAGATGCCCACCTTTGATATTTGGCAAATTTCCATGTAAGGACCTGGGCATAACATGTGAAGTTTGTTTAATCGGTCGTGAGTCACGCATAGATTTCGGTGCACACGCTCCTTATATTATAATTTCACAAATTCCCTGTTACGCTAACTAGAGATTACCAGAATAAACTGTTTCACATCAGGCTTTGGTGACGCCGCTTCATTGGTTTGGTTTGGTTTGGTCACTCTTAAGGTAATTCAACATACACTCTTCAAATCATTCCATTTTTTGGGGGAAATTGTGTAGGGA